AACCATGGTAGCTGCTCCTTTAAGGCAGGGCTGCAATCACCATGAAATGTGTTTTAGGGATAAAGTTCATTTTCTAGGCAAATATTGACTTTGCAATTAATTGCTGTTATGTTGATCACTCTTTAGAACATTCTGGACTTTATGCAGATTACAGTTATAAAAACTGAAGCTGTAGACTTTGGAAATATTAACATTTGAATCATTCTCAAAACTTTTGGCCATGACTGTACATCCCAGATGAACAAGTTAATGTTTTAAATGCTGAGTGTCAGTTCCTCTTATAGTTCCAGTGTAAATACATTTATTTATTGTCCCTTTAATGTATTATTTTGCATGATACTAGAAAGCAGATTAGATAAAAAATAAGAGTGGGTTTACCTCTGCACAATTCTATATCTTCAAGATAAAACAGCGGATAAATCCACATATAACATATTGAAACTTTATTTGGTTAAATAGGAACTTTTTTGCCTTCTGTTTTAGTCGCTGGTTAGTTTAAAAGCAAACCTTGTTTCCACATTGATCAGAACCAGTGAAGCTTTAAACATTATAAACAGCATCTAGTGAGTTTAGCTGATAAGACTTATAATAATGTAGGAAGAAATGCTGCTGTTCTCTATAAACAAGATGTGTCCTGATGCTCAATGACATCACTGACATCAGACCAATGAAACTGAAGACCAACGGTGTCTAAACACCCAAGCTGGAACCAGTCCAGAACCACCGACCCAGTTTAGCAGCTGGAAGCAAACCGAACTCACCGTCCAGGATCCGGGTTCGGCTCCGGTTCCCCAACCTCTAACGGCGGAACCTCAGATGTCCGGGACACGTGCGGAAGTTTACCGGGAAAAACGCGCTTCCTTGTTTTTTCCCACTTTATGTCACCTGACATTTCCAACCAACCAGCGGCTAGAGGTGCTGTGACGTAGACCGAGATCCTTTTTTTAATTTTTTTTTAATTTAATGAATTACTTTAAGAACACGAAATTGATAGAAAGAATATAAGATTTATTAACTTGATTATAATAAAGTTAATAAATCTCCCAGGGGGTGGGGGGGGTCATATCCACACTCCGTTCCAGTAGGTGGCGGTGCTGCAAATTAATAAGCTGCTGGCCAACCGCCATAAAATAAAGAAGAAGACTGTTTGTTTGTTTTTTTAATAACGCTTCATTTACACATTTCAAACATATAAACAATTGACGTAAAACAGGTTTCAGTTAAAATCATTAAATGAGGAGCTTGTTAAAATGTAGATCTCCCTCATCCTAACCTGAAACCCCACAGCTGAATAAAATCCTCCATGTTGTTTCTGAGGAAGTTAAACTCCAGCCTCATTCTGGCTCCTCAGAGCCGCAGCATCAAGCTGAGCTCTGCGTCTTTATTCCTGCTGTTTAGAAACCCCCCCTACAAAAACTGTAAATACAGCCTCCAAGGAATAAAAACACTGATTAATGGGTTAAAATTGTCTTTAGTTTTGCGTGGAAGACGTTTTCAAACAGAGCGCAGAAAGGACGCTGGTTTAAAACACCGATTAATAACCGATAAAAAACAGTTTGTGGCGAAGAAGAAGAAGGAGGAGGAAGAGAAGAAGAAGAAGAAGGAGGGGGAAGAGAAGAAGAAGAAGAAGAAGGAGGGGGAGGAGGAGGAGGAGGAGAAGGTGGTCCTGGCGGGCATTTCCGGGTACGGTTAGTTCTGTAGAGGTGAAGTTGTTGGACCATCCGGTCCAGAACATGATCCAGAGAGGAACCAGAACCCAAAGGTGCCGAACCTGACCGGAACCAGAAGAACCGGACCGGGTTCGGTTCGTCATGTCCGGCCGGAGAGGCGGGAAAACCTTGATCATCACAGACGGTGAGTCCTTCCGTTCGGTTCGGATGTTCTGGTTCCGATCAGGTTTACAGGTGGTTCTGTGTTTGGATCAGAACCGGTCCGGTTAGATGTTCAGCTTCTACTTTCTGCAGATGAGGAGGAGGTCCAGAACCAGGATGAGCTGAACCCGTTCTCCTTCAGAGAGTTTCTGCGCTGGAAGAACCAGGACCAGAACCAGGACCAGGACCAGACCGAGGTAGGTACCAGCAGAACCCTAGGATCCGGTTCTAACAGAGCTCTGCCTTTCAGTCCGGTTCTGACCGCAGCAGCTTCCTGTCTTAGAATCACCTGGAAATACAGGAACCCAGGGAGTCCAGAACCAGACCAAGA